ATATTTGGGATTGTTATATATATATATAGTATTTTAAAAAAAACTAATTGACTACAAGGTTACAAAGATTTATAATCAATTAAAGTATTTATTAAGAAAATATAATAAAAATTATTAAATTAGATTCAAATGATGTTTTAATATAGATAATAATTTTTAAATCTTGCTCAAACATTTATTGTCTTATGGTTACATGATTAGGGTTGTTAAAAGGACTCTTTGTTTGCGAACAACTCGTGTTCGGCTCATTTACACCCCTATTTACGGTGCCTATCGTGTTTTTTTTTTAAATTTTAGTTATAAACCTATGATGTAGAAAATAACTTTTTATAAAATTGTGGCGAAAATTATAAATAAATATATATATTTTTTTTTTCAAAAATTTAGACAGTTATTTTAAAAAGTTATCGTGAAAAATACAGCTTATATGAACAATTATTATAAATAAAAGTTTATAATAATAGATACAAATGGACTATTGTATACATACATTATGTGCACAGTTATTGTCCTTAATATTAACATATTAAACAAATTCCCACTAAAAATGACAAGACGAGCACAAATTCTCATGAATTATAATTTTAATATTTTGTTAAGGATAAATCCAAACATTTGAGGCTAAAGTTTAAGAAAATATTTAAATAATATATCTAAACCTAAGTTTTTTAAACATTATAAATAGGAGATCTAGAATTCGAATGAAAGATTGAATTAAACAAACAGTTGCGGAAACAAAAAGGATAATTACGATAATATGTTCATAATAAATCCAAGCCAGGTGTGGTAATGGCTTACGTAATATTATTTAAATAAAATAAACAAGCAAAATTTTTTGAGTAAATACTGCTACATTTTGAAAAATTTACAATTATAAAATAATTTAATAATATAAGATTGTATTAATATATCCGTTTATATAGAGATGTTAAATGTAGCGCATGTGAGATATAGGATCTTTAACATTAGAAATTAAGGAAGGGAAAGTTAATGGAAGTCCTGCAGACCCAATCGACACTAAAGAACCTCTTTCCAGCAGACACAATCGACACAAAAATAATCTCGTAGTTAACATTTGCATGGGCGTGGGGGGCGTTAAAGTTGGTCGATGTTTGTCGTCAATGTCGACGTAAGCTGTTTGCATCGGACATCTTCGACGCTAATTACATTTTTTATCACGATTTTTTGCAGGATTTGATGCAAGTTTTATGCTAAAACTAATTTACATTGGATTTGACCGACGCTAATATACAAAAATCCCGCACTACTGTTTGATG